ACGTGCCCCACGTGAGGGGCCACCAAACACTCGGTGTGTTGAGCTAAACAGTTTCTCCTGTTAATTTTTAAGCTCATGGGTATTTCAAAGATAAATGAAATGCAACTTCTAACTTGTTTATATGCATGTCATAGAAATGTTATTTTATATAAAAATCTCTTGGCTTTTAGAAGTATATCGAGCATATGCTATCAAAATAGGAAACTTCAGGGTGTGATGCAATCATTTCCAAAAAAACAGCTCAAAACTTCAGGCCAGTCTATAAAGAAATGTTCAAGGGTCAAGGGCAAAATGCGAGATATAAGAAAAATGTAATAATCATTTTTCATAGACATTTTTTTCAGTTTATGTGACTTATCTTTTATTCTAACATAATGTCCTCTCTCTCTATGTATATATTTTTTGGTGCTAAAATATTCTTTTAACATAGTTGACATTACCTACTTCTTCTTCATTTGTCATTGCATTATTTAGGGCTTTTAATTTTGTTTTCTTGAACTACTTTCTTTATGGTTAAGTCTGTCCTTTTTCTAACTTCTCACACTGACTACATAGGTCATTAATTTTAAGACTTGCTCTTTTTTTCGCTAATGACTGTGATACATATTCCTACAGAAGTCGATATATTTCCTTCAAAATACTGCTCCATTTTTGGGATGTAGTGGTTGTATTTTCATGCATTTCTTTTTTTTAAATTTAATTTAATTTTTTAATTTAAATTCAATTAGCCAAGGTATAGTACATCAGTAGTTTTTGATATAATGTTCAGTGATTCATTAGGTCAGTATAACACCTAGTTCATGCATTTCTAACCATCATCCACTTTGACCCATTCTATAAGCCACGTTTATTTAGAAGTGTGTTTTTAAACTTCCAAATGTTTAAAACATATGTTTTAAATTGATTCCAATAATTATTTTCTATTTTTAAAAATATTGTGCCAAAAAACATGGTCTCATTATAGAAGTTCTTTGGTATTTTAAAGATTTGCTTTGTGACTTATTACAAGGTCAACTTTTGCATGTTCATAGATGCATAAAAGCGTTATGTTCTCTCATTATGATAGGGTTTCCATGGATGCTAACTACGTCAAGTTGTTAATTCTCTCACTTAAAATGCTTTTTATACCTAATTATTTCTTTTATTTCATCTGTTTTTCTGAGATGGATGTGTTAAAATTTTCAGTTCTTCTGGCTGATATTTCAGTTTTAACCTGATAATTTCCTCATCTTGACTGTTTTTATTTCAGGCCTGTAGTCTGATACACATAATTTCAGAATCTTTACATACTTTTTCTTGAATTATTCTTCTTTCATGATGTGGTGACCCTCTTGATTTCTGATAATATTTTTCGTGTTATTTTGTTTTTTACCTTAAAGCTTATTTGTCTGCCATGAATAACTACATTAGTTTTCTTCCATCTTTTTTGTATCTTTACTTTTTTAGTTTAAACAGCATAGTTGGATTTTTTAAATCAAAACTGAAAATCCCTATCTTTTAATTGATAAACTCAGCCCATTTTAGTCTTTTAAAAAATTAATTTTTACCATGTCCATTTAAGTTTTATTTGTATCATGATTTTTTGCTTCTTCTCTTGTCCCGCTTCCCTTTCTTTTAGAAATTAAGTTTTTTTGTTTTATTTTTTCTAAAATTCCCTCTTGTCTACTCTTGTAAGTTATATATTGTACTTCTGGTCTTTCACTGGTAACACTTAAATATTTAGTATGCATTCTTAACTGGGTTCTAATGTTAATGATTGTCTCAGCCGTTCTCATGAACTGGAGAAACACAGGTGCTTGACTTAAGTCCAGATCACTCCCTCCCACGTTCCATGCTGGGCTCATCTCCTGATATAGCTGGGCCTCATCATTATGCTTTATATTTAGTTGCAATTTTTTTAGTGGTCCCTAAATCACTTGTAGTTATTTGCATATTCAATTAAGTTTGTAGTTCTTACTCAGGTTTTATATAAATAAAAATATATCATATATGTTGTATGTATGATATAATTATATTTATATAAATAAAAAAGCTAAAAATAAAAATGTTACTGGGGGGGCCTGGGTAGCTCAGTCGGTTGAGTGTCTGACTCTTGATTTCAGATTAGGTCATGATCCCAGGGTCATGATATCAAGCCCCCCATGGGCTCCACCCTGAGCGAGGAATCTGCTTGAGATTCTCTTCCTCTCCCTCTGCCCCTCCCCTACCCGTGTTTTCTCTCTCTTAAATAAATAAATAAATAAATAAATGAAATCTTAAAAAAATAAATAAATGAAAATGTTATTCCATCCTTACTCCTGAAGAATAGCTTGGTTGTATATAAAATTCTATGCTGATATTTTCCCCTAAGCACCTTAACTCTGTTACTTCACTATCTTCTGATCTCTCTTATTGCTTTTGAGAACTCTGCTTTATACTACACTAGTTGTTGTTCCCTTGTAGTTGGTCTGCTTTTCTCTCTGGAACTTTTTAATATTTTATCTTTGCTGCAATATGTCCAGGGGTGGATTTAAATTCATATCTTTCTGCTCCAAACTCAGTGTGTCTCTTGAGTCTGAGTGTCCTCTCTCTTTTCTCTTTTTTAAAAGACTTTAACAATTTTTTAAATTACTGAAATGTAATTGACATACAATGTTGTATTAGTTCCAAGTGTACAACATATTGATTTGACAATTCTGTACATTATTCAGTGCTCGCCCTGATGTCTGTCACCATACTTTATTACAATATTATTGACTTTATTTCCCATACTGTACTTTTCATCTCCATGATGTATTTATTTTGTAACTGGAAGTGTGTACATCTTACTCCCCTTTACCTATTTTACCCATCCCTCCACCCACCTCCCCTCTGGTAACCATCAGTTTGTTCTCTATATTCAAGTTTGTGCTTGTGTGGTTGTTCGGTTGGTTGGTTTCTTGGATTCCACATATAAGTGAAATCATATGGTATTTGTCTTTCTCTGTCTGCTTTAGAAAATTCTCAACAATTATTTCCTTGAATTTTGCATCTGCCTTACTTTTTCTATTTTCTTTCTGGACATCTATAAAATATATGTTAGAGTTATTTATCCTCTCATATTTCTCATTTCTTTCTCTCTCCCTGCTGCATTGTTAGTAATTTTCTCATATCTGTCTTCCAGTTCACGAATATTCTCTTCAGCCATATCTCTTCGGTTAACTTGGCCTGCCAACTGAGATTTTAATTTCAGTAACTGCATTTTATTTCACAAAGACATAGCTTGGTTTTTCCCAATCTGTTTTCCTTTTCACTAGCATTTTTTAACCTATATCTTTAATCATTTTAAACACACTTATCTTATATTCTCTTTCAATTGTCTTCTTATATCCTTGCTACTAGAATTCTAATTCTGATATTTAATGCGTGCCTCCTCACCCCCTTATAGAGTGTATTGTGTCCTTGCATATTTTTTTTTTTTAATGGGAACTAATCTTCATTGGGGTTTGCTTTTTTTTTCATGTGGTCTGGGTTATCAGAGTTTTTCTCAAGAGAGGGTTTTTTTGTTTTTGTTTTTTGTTTTTTTGTTGTTTTGTTTTTTGTTTTTTTGTTGTTTTGTTTTTTGTTTTTGTTTTTTTGTTTTGTTTTGTTTTGTTTTGTTTTTGCTTATCTGCTAAGATTCCAAAGGGGCACACTGGTCTGGAACAAGTTTTATGCTTATTTCATAGCTAGGGAATTCCTGGACAGAGTGGGGGAATGCATATTTGAACCCTAACTTTGTGATTAGAAAGGGCTATGCTGTTGGATTCTTAAGGATATTTCTACCTTTGCACCCAAATCCAGACAGAAAGAGATAGTCTTCCTTGTCATAGCCCTGTACTAATGGGTAGGTGATTTTCCAGTCCAGCTTTCACAGTCTGGTCCTAATGGGGTAATCTCAGTTCCTGCTCTTGCTTTGTCTGGTTCTAAGACCTCAACTTCTGTCCCTGTTTGGGTATTGAAGATTTAGGTTCCTGCATTTCCAAAACCAAAATCCACTCCACTCCCTCCCATCTGCTTTAGTATCAAGTCACATGTTTCTGGCACCTCTTTTGAGTTTTGTTTTGTTTTGTTTTGTTTTAATGCTATGCAGTATTTTTAAATATTTGGAGCACAAGATTTACAACCTGACCTACATTATTATCCAACCTGGTCTCAGGGATGTTGCCTTAGATTCAACACAAAGAAGAACTGGAGAGTTAAAATATGGGACATATCCTCTTCTGGAAAAAAAAATACTTCTAAAAATAAAATTAACATCTCAGGTGTCCCTCTTGATGCTCTAAGTGATATATTATATATTTGTGTTTCCTAAATTGTTCATCATTGCTGAGACCTCTATTTTCTTGGAAGCGTTGGGCACAGAACAAGGATACTATGGCTTGCAGCAGCAAATGCAGTTCCACCAACACTCAGTAGATGGCGAAAATATAACCATCCTCTGTGAGGCTCAGAATCATAAGAGAACCATTTATCATTAAAAGGAGAATTTTGATGGAGGGCTGGAGTTGCATGAAGTTTGAAGCAGTCAGGAAAGTTGATGTATTTTAATCTCTCCCGAACAACATAGGAAAATATGCCAGCACAACTCTATTTAAATTTTGTTCAACTTCCTCAAAAAAAAAAAAAAAAAAAAGTGGTTGTCCCAACAGCAGAGCAGGAGGACAAAGAGGGGAAGATATCCAAACTGGGGGAAAGTGTGCATTTTATGGAACATTTTAACCAGGTAATTCTTTCTTTGATGATAACACACTTTTTTTTTTTTGCTTACTCAGGTTGATTAAAAGTGGACCCCCCCCCAAATACAAAACAAACAAACAAAAAACCATGTTTTGTCAGTTTTGCCACAGCATGGACTTTCCTTTTCAGAAAAGGAACTTCAGGCCCTACTGAACTGGCAACCCCAACGTTGAGGGAGAGTCCCGCCCTTAGATTGCCCAATGCGCTGGGTTGTGGTAAGACCAAGGCTTGTCCAATTCCTGTCAACTCCAAGACGTGGAAGAAATTCCTTGTGAGACTAGAAAGTCTGCGGAGAAGAGCTTTAACATCCACGGCCCTGGTGCATTCCTTTAGAGGACTGGAAGTTCTCATTCTACTTCACACTCCACACGTAGCAACAGAGAGACACACGCAGGTGAGGGCTCACACACCCAGCGTTCACACACGCTCTGCGTGGAGGGCTTCCTCATCCTCTCCTGCCCTCAACACTGGAGTCCAGGATTTCCCAGAGGAACAAAACAGGACCAGTCTGAGTGGTAAGTGTTAAAGCCAAGAAGGGTGCAGAATGGCTTTGCACTGCAGACAGCTTGGTGGCTAGAGGCCTCCCGTTCTCCTAGCACGTGGCCACGGTCATTCGGGCTTTTGGAACTGGAAGCTCAGCATGAGAGAGCGGGCAGAACTTTAAGATTAAAAAGTCCAGGATAAGATTTAGTCACAAGAAGAGGAAACAAGCTGGGGCGCCTGGGTGGCTCAGTTGGTTAAGCGACTGCCTTCGGCTCAGGTCATGATCCTGGAGTCCCTGGATCAAGTCCCGCATCGGGCTCCCTGCTCGGCAGGGAGTCTGCTTCTCCCTCTGATCCTCCCCCTCTCATGCTCTCTGTCTCTCATTCTCTCTCTCGCAAATAAATAAATAAAATATTAAAAAAAAAAAAAAAAGAAGAGGAAACAAGGTGATGCCAAGTTATTCAGATCAGGGTGTGAGGGTAAAGTTTAGGATGGGAGCGCGACTTTGATGGTGTCCGTTTCTTTGAATCGGATAGATTGGAAAAAGAAATAAGGCAAGAAATCACTAACACAAATGAGCTGGAAAACACTGGCTGAGCTCCTGGCTGATCCAGGACAATGTGGAAAGGCAGAGGGCACTCCCCAGACCACCTGCCACCCACCCACCCCCATCCTGATGTCCTTTCTAGACTTGCGGGAGGACACGGTGGGGTATTACATTAGCATGGGAGGTCAGCAGTGGAAAGACTGCATGATTTTTCTGTGGAGGGAAAGTCAGTCAATCTGAGACATCCAATTTTCATAGCATGAAGTGAGTACATGATGATGAGCATTACTACTCGGTGGTGAGTAATGTGTTTGTGAGGATGTGTGCATAAAATCGGCATGTTTTCCCATTGCATTGGCTCTTGGCTTTCCTTATTTATTTCTATTGCTGCAACTCGGTGAGGGAGTGACCCATTCCCTTTTATCAGTGACTGATTCAACACCCTCTTGTCACATTCATCACATTTTTCTCATTTTTTTTTTTTCTCCCCGGGACTCACAGTTCTGATTCTGGCCTCTCCTGGGGTTTCAAGATGATTAATCTTTCTCATTCGTTCCTTTTCAGCTTTGTGTTAAGCAGTGGTAGAATCAATCACATGCCTTCTTGCTTTATTTGAAATCAACTTTCATGTTTTACAATCACTGGAGTTTTTGTGGGGCTCCTTGAATACAGATTGAGAAGTTCACTTGGCTAAGTTGCCAAAAACAATTAAATTCAAGTGAAACATTTTTATTTAAATCTCCATGGAATCCTGCTTGGTTTTTTTCTTACTTTGCATAGATATTCATGATATTTACTCTATAACCAATAATAGAATAAAAGATAAATGCATTTCTACTTCTCTAAATATTTTCTTATTTAAGAGGACTATCTACTAAACGTGTGGCAAGCAAATTTAACATTTCATTAGACACAGGCTAAATTATAACCCCGAGTATAGCAGTTAAATAGAAACACAGTGCAGGCACCAGTCTGTGGAAAGTTGTAATTGCACCTAGACCATGGTCCTCACTGGCTTCCCCTTGAGCTCCAGGACAAAAGTTGAAAGTAACGAAAACAATCTATTCTTTAGTTTTGTTGTGAGAAATAAAGGGTCAGTGTTTAAGTTTCTAGCAGCCTAAAGGGTTAGTAAGAGCTGAAATGTTGATTTTGTACAGTTACTGCTGTTAAGCACGCCGCACAGTGGTTCTCAAGTGGGAACAATTTGCACCCCCCAGGGACATTTGTCAGAGATAGTTTTGGTTGTCATACCTGGGGGAAGGGACATGGCTGGCTCCTGGTGGGTAGAGGCCAAGGATACAACCAAGCATCCTACAATGCACAGGACAAAGGGACACTCCCCAGTGACAAATAATGACTTAGCCCAAAATGTCAACAGTGGCAACACATTGAAAAATGCTCCTGTAATAATTTTTCTAAGGAAACCAAACTCATACTACATGACTGATTTATATGGATTAGATTTTTTAACACCTTTATTGAGATATCATTCACATACCAAAACATGTACAAATTTAGAGTGTGTCATTCAATGTTGTTTGTTCACAGACTTGTGCAATCATCACAATCAATTTTACATTTTGATGTAAAGTTGAAAAAGTTACATTTTCATCCACTTTCGTCATCATGTCACTGCCCTTCCCATCCCCTCTCTCCAAGCCCTAGACAATCAACAATCTACTTGTGCTCTCTACAGACTTGCCTGTTGTGTATATCTCATATCAATGGAATTATATGGTATGTGACTTTTTGTGTCTGGTTTCTTTCACTTAGCATCATGTTTTCAAGGTTCATCCATATTGTGGCACGTGTCAGTAATTCATCCCTTTTTCACTGATGAATAACATGGTATGTAAATAAACTATATCTCACTTATGCATTCATCGGTGGATGGCATTTGGGTTATTTCTACTCTTTGGCAATTTTGAATAGTGCTGCTTGAACATTCATGTACAAGTTCTTGTGTGAATGTGTGTTTTCATTTCTCTTGGGCCCATACCCAGGAATAGAATTACTAGATCATATAACTCTATGTTTCCCATTTTGAGGAACTGCCAAACTGTTTCACAAGCTAGTGCAACCACTCTGCATCACCACCAGGAACATAGGAGCTTCCAATTTCTTCACATTCCATGTCTTTTTCATGATCATTATCCTAGTGGGTGCCAAGTGGTAACTCATCGTGGTTTTGATGTGCATTTCCCTAATGACTAATGATGTTGAGCATCTTTTCATGTGCTTATTGACCAGCTGCTTATCTTCTCTGAAGAAATGTCATTCAGATCAATCACCCGTTTTTTAAATTCTGTTATTTTTTATTATTGAGTTGCTAAAAATATAGACACAAGTCCCTTATCAGATATGTGATTTGAAAATATTTTCTTTCATTCTGTGGGTTGTGTTTTCACTTTCTTAGTGTGATTTGCAACATAAAAGTTTTCAATTTTGCTAAGTTCCAATGTATCTATTTTTTCCTTTTGTTACTTATGGATTTTTTTTACATGATATTTAAAGCCTTACTTTCATGTTTCCTCTCAAGAGTCGTATAATTTTAGCTCTTGCATGTAGCTCTATAGTCTATTTTGAGTTAGTTTTTTGGTGGTAGTGTAACAAAGGCATCCAACTTCATTCTGTTTCAAGTGGACATCCAGTTCTGCCAGCAAGATTTGTCAAAAAGACTTTTCTGGCCCCATTGAACTATCATGACTGCTTGTTGAAACTAACTGATCAAAAATGTGAGAGTTTATTTGGGGCCTCTATTCTATTTTATTGATCTGTCCTTATTCCAGTACTCTACTGTCTTGTTTGTTGTAGTTTTGTAACAAGTTTTGAAATCAGGAAGTGTGAGTTCCTCAACTTTGGTCTTTTTCAATATTGTGCTAGCTATTCTTTGTCCTTTGGATTTTCATGTAAATTGTCAATTTCTGAAACACAACCAGCTGAGATTTTGGTAGGCACTGCATTGAATCTGCAAATCAATTTGAGGAATATTGCCATTTTAACAATATAAAGTCTTTCAATCCATGAACATTAAATACTTTCTCATTTATTTTGCTTTTAATTCTTTTCAACAATTTTTTGTAGTTTTCGGTATGAAGGCTTATACTATTTTTGTTAAATTTATTCCTAAATATTTTTGATGTTATCAAAAATGGAATTGCTTTCTTAATGTCATTTTCAGGTTGTTCATTGCTAGCATATAACAATAAAATTGATGTTTGTAAATTGATCTTTTATCCTGCAATCTTGCTGAACTCATGATTTTTTAGTGGATTCTTTAGGATTTTATACATACAAGATAATGCCATATGCAAATAGAGATAATTTTCCTTCTTCCTTTACAATCTAGATGGGTTTTCTTCCTTTTGCTTACCTAATTTCCCAAGCTAGACCCTCCAGTATAATGTCAAATACACATGGTGAGAATGGACATGTTGGTATTATTCCCAGTCTTGGGGAAGAAGCATTCAATCTTTCATCATTAAGTATAATCTTATCTGTGGATTTTTTTTTTATGTCCTTTATTGTGTTGAAGAGAGTTTAGTCTCTTCCTAGTTTGTTGAGTGTTTTGTTGTTGTTGTTTTTTATCATGAATGGGTGTTAGGTTTTGTCAAATGCTTTTTCTGTTCTTTTGAAATGATCATGTGGTTTTGTCCTTTATTTTATCAATATGGTGTGTTACATTGATTGATTGTTGGATGTTAAACCAGCCTTACATTTTGGGGATATATTCCACTTGGTCATCGTGGATAATCCTTTTTATATGTTGCTGGATTCAGTTTGCTGGTATTTTGCTGAGGATTTTTTTGGTCTGTATTCATAAAAGACATTGGTCTGTAGTTTTAAGAGTTTTCTTATGATGTATTTGTTTGGTTTTTGTATTTGTGTAATACTGGTCTCATAGAATGAGTTGAAAATTGCTCCCTCCTTTTCTATTTGCTCAAATAATTTTTGAATAGTTGCTATTTATTCTTTTTTATTTTGGGGGGAGTAGGGGCAGAGGGAGAGACAGAATCTTAAGCAGGCTCCATACCCAGTGCAGACCCTGACAATGTAGGGCTGGATCGTATGACCCTGAGATCATGACCTGAGCTGAAATCAAGAGTTGGACGCTTAACTGACTGAGCCACCTAGATGCCCCTTGAATAGTTGCTATTAATTTTTGTTTAAATGTTTGGTAAAATGTACTAGTCAAGTCATCTGGGCCAGGGCCTTTCTTTGCAAGAAGCTTTTAAGTTAGTAATTTAATCTTTTTACTTGTTATATGTGTATTCCGATTTTGTTTCTTCTTGAGTCAATTGCAGTAGTTTGTGTCTTTCTAAGAACTTGTCCATGTCGTACATGCCCATGACACAGAGCAGTTCATACTATTCCCTTATAATCATTTTTATTTCTATAAGATTGGTAATGTTGACTAATCTGCTTTTTCATTCTTGATTTTAATAATTTGAGTTTTTAATTCTTTCTCTTAGTCAATCTAGTCAAAGCTTTGTCAATTTTGTTGGTCTTTTCAAGGAACTAACTTTTGGTTTAATTAATTTTTACATGTTTTTTCTAATCTCCATTTCATTAGTTTCCACTCTAATTTTTACTATTTACTCCCTATGCTTACTTCAGCTTCAGTTTTCTCTTGTTTTTCCAGTGTCTTAAGGTGAAGTTTGGGTTATTGATTTGAGAGCTTTCTCCCTTTTCAATGCAGGTGTTTATGGCAATGCATTTCCTTATAAGCGTCGCTTTACTTGTATCCTGTATGTTTTGATATGCTGTGTTTAGTTTTTATTCATCTCAAAGGATTTCTTAATTTCCTTTGTGATTTATTCTTCGGTTTTTAGGGATGTGCTGTTTAATTTCCAGATATTTGTTAATTTCTCAAATTACTTTTTATTATAAATTTCTAATTTCACTCCATTGTGGTTCAGAGAACATACTTTACACGATTTCCAGCCTTTGAAATTTACTGAACCTAGCATATGGTCTTTCTGGGATAGTGTTCCCTGTGCACTTGAGAAAAATATATATTCTATTGTTAAGTAAAATGGTCTATAAATGTTTGCTAGTTCTTGTTTGTTTATAGTGTCGTTCAAGTCCATATCCTTTTGACCTACTTCCTAGTTGTTCTATACATTATTGAAAGTGGGATAGAGGAGTCATCAGCTATTATTGTTGAATTGTCTATTTCTTCTTTGATTCTGTCAGTTTTTGCTTCATGTGTTATGGGGCACTTGTGCTAGTTTGCATATGTTTTCAATTACTATATTTTTCTGATCAATTGACACTTTCATCATTATAAAATGTCCTGTTCATCTCCAGTAATATATATTTTTTTGGCCTTCAAATCTATTTTCCCTGATATTAGTAATTCTTTTCTGGTTGTTGTTTGCATGGTATATCTTTTTCCATCCTTTTTATTTTCAACCTATTTGTATTATTGAAACCAAAGTTTGCATTCTGTAGACAGCATATACTTGAATCATGTTTTCTTATCCAATCTAACAATTTTTGCCTTTTGATTAGACTGTTTAATCCATTCCCATTTAATATTGAATTTACATCTTCCATTTTACTTTTTGCCTTCTGTAAGTCTCCTGTCACATTTTGTTCCTCTATTCCTCCTTTACTATTCTCTTTTGCATTAAATGCATATTTTAGTATAATAGTTTAATTCCTCTGATGACTTTTCAACTATATTTTTAGTTATTTTCTTAGTGGCCTAGAGTAAGTTAATTTCTAGGGTTTATGGTATATGTCTTGACTTACCAAAATTGACTTTAGACTTATACTAACTTAATACCAGTGAGACATAGATACTTTTCTCTTACAAAGCTCTTCTTTCCCCTTTTTTGATAATATCATTGTTATACATATTATCTCTCTATATGTTACAAGCACAATGATAAATTGCTGTAATTATTACTTTATATAATTTTATATCTTTTAAGGAAGCTAAGATAAGAAGGGAAAGTATATATCTAAAGACTTTATTATATCAATCTTTGTATTGTTCATTTCTTGTTCTCTTCATTTGTTCCTGTAGATACAAGTTACCATCTGTGTCATCTCCTCACTGCAACACAGCTTTGTTCCCTTCTACCTCCTTTATGCCGTCATAGTCAGATATATTACATTAATACATGTAATAAGCCCTGAATCATATTTTGAATAAAAGTTCTACACAATATGGTGAAGTGATTAGTTACTGCAGCCCTGGGTTCCACGTAGATGAAAAAGAAACACCCAAATGAGACTTCTTTCCAGCAAGATATAACGAAGGCAATTAAGGAACTTCATGACTTTTTGATCTCTTTGAAGGACTGACTAAGGCTGGGTCTAAAGATCTCCAATTCATGAAAGAGTGCTTCACATTTTTGAACAGGCCAGCAACGCCCTGAAACCATTACAACCAAAGCTTCAATGTCTGATATTCCTGTGGTTATAGAGATCCAGCTTGAGTGTTGTCATTAGTTTTATTATAGAGTTCCTTCTTGCCTATATAAACATTTCAATAAATGGGAGTTTATGCATAAAGACATCTGCTATTTGGAAAGCTGAGTAGTGAGTGACCGGTTTTTACAATGATTCGTATTTCTGAATTTTAAAATTTGTTCAGCATCCCAAGTCTGACAAGTTTAGGAGTGAAATAAAATGCAAGACTGACAACAGAGGTGTTTTCGGACTCATGAATAAGCCATCCAGGTAGAGGCAGGACCTGTCAGGCAGGTTGGGTGTGTTGCTAGATCACTTTCTCCATGCTTCAGCAGAGAGTGATGTCCAGACACTCACGTAAAGTAGTTTCCTGCTAAAATCAAGAAATGCTGGGAGTTTAACTGAGACCTTCACTTTCCAGAAAAAATCAATATGGTCAGAAATAGTTTCACTAGATTTAACAGGTTTTTGGACACAGAGACTCTTGTTTGGGGCTTTTCCTGAAGTAGTTTAGGAAGTTTCCTCCCTTTTCCTTTTGCCTTTGTTTGTTAGAAAATCTGTCAACAAACTGCTTCAGGTTTTGACTAAACTCTCTCTTCTTTTGCCCAAAGAGTTGAGCTGAAATTTGAGCTTATTTGTTACTCCTGCAAAAGAAGGTATAGACACTCCCACGGCTACCCCAGGCAGGGCTGTGATGGGAGCCTTGTAAGGGGAATTTCCTCCTTGTTTTCTTTGATTGTGCGCTCACTCTATCAACAGCATGAATGTTTATCATCTTATCTCTGACATATGGACTGTCAAAAATACTAAGATAGTGAGTACTTAAAACTACTTTTAAAAACTGCTTCCCGTCAGTGGCTATCAGTCTGTGATGCACTCTGGAAGTTGTCTGTTAACTTTTACCGACAACAAAGAGAAATGCGAAGATAAAATACTTGGAACTTTGATGAGCTCCAGTCAGAGATGATTATCTCTGGAATAAGTATGTCATTTTTGTAAAGATAGGTGATTTAGACTATCTTAACATTTCTATTCTGCAATTATATTGTTACTTCCTTTTGCCTATAAACTTGGTATTTACTCATTTCCTCAAAAAAATAAATGCTGTGTTGTTTCTTGCTTATATGGAAAAACCACACCATCAGGGGGCTTGCCTCCAGCTCTCTCCCCTTTCTGCATTATCTGCCAGGTCAAGATGGGACATACTATTTAGCTTATTGAGGGAAGTGATGGGGATCTAGCTTTAGTCAGTTTCCTGTATCTGGCTCACATGGTTTTCTTCATCATCACTTGCTTCTTGTGTCAATTTATCCAAATCAAATTCTAATTATATTTGAAGAAGACTGTTGTCATTCCCTTCATGACCTTTTAGCATGCTTGCACTAACTCCTCCACCAAGTGTTAAGGGAAGGAAGCTTATATTCTCTTCTCTTTGCACATCTAACACATTACCAGTGAAAGAATTGGTACTCAGTAAGCAGTCCCCTTTCTTCCTGACACTTTGGTTCTCTTAGGTACATTCACAGTATGAGTTAGATATATGGGTGGCTTCCCAACCAAAATGCTTCGTTCTGAACTTCTCTCCAAATTCTACTGTAGACCAATTTCCAGACCATTTTCCAACTATGAAAACAGGTTCTCTCCATGAGCTTATGTAGGCTTGTTTCTCCCCAAAGGAATCCAGCCCAGAAAAGATCCAGTAAATGCCCTTAGTTACAGGGACATTCCACTGAGAATGACTTAGTCCTAGGTGTTTCAAATATTTTGATATTCACTTGTTCACATCCTGGCAAAAAGTACTAATTTCCATTTATGAGGTTAAGAAACAACTCAGTCACAGTCCTATAGTTGGAACTGTCTTCAGCTACAAGCAACTGAATAAATTTGTCTGGTTTTCATGACTTGAGAGACTCAGAAGCAGGCAGTGTAGGAATGGGAGGGTAATTCACAATGTCACCAGGGACCTAGGTTCCCTCTTTCTTTCTACTCAGCCATTCTTAGCACAGGTTTGCTTCTCTGCATTGCAGGAGGGCTGGCTGTTATACCACCAGCAGGAATAGGGAAAGAGTGAAGGGCAAAAGTGACACATCCAGTTAAGTAAATTCTTGTAAAGAGGTCTTCTAGAGGTGGATGGACACCTTACCCGAAATTTGGTTCAGGTGTGTTGAAACTGATGATACCATACATGCATCCACCAGGAGGGTAAGGAAATGTTTACTACTGACAAAATGAAGTTTTGTGGGGTGAGAAAGGCATGCTCCCAAGATGATCCAAAAATAGCTTAAGACAGCAGTGAAAGGAGACTGCCTTGTCTTTTATGGAGGGTAGGAGATTAAGCCAGGGTGCGAGTTCCTGCATGTGGGTAGGAGCTTGTGGGATTGAAACTTTCCACCACATCAAAGGAGGGAGTACCCAGGCTTCCTTATCAGCTTCCTAGATGTGGGGCAGAAGAGGAAGGGAGGTGGGGCTTGAAAGCAGTCAGATATCAGAAATGGAGTCAGACTCTTTTATACCATCTCAGTAATCTTCTGCTTATTTCTCATAGGTGGCGGAGAAGTATAGTGTTTTAGCTGCTATAATGGAGGCTTGATTCTTTGTACATAAAGAGTTGAAGATGTTGGTGAGTTAGGCAAGCGTCAGTCTCTTCCCTCCAATTGTCTTCATTCAACAATTATTGAAATAGTTCTTCCTGCTGTTCTTCATTTGGACATGCCCATCAAAATCAATGGTGTTCAGGCACTCTGCTCATTTTTGGTAGATGACCAGGTCCAGTGAACTGCAGCAATTTGGGCTTTCCCAAGGCTCAGAGGAGCAACAGGGCAACTCTGAGAAGGGTGCTGATAGCTTCCCTTTGGGCCATAGCCGGACCCACAGTGTGTGTTCAGTTATAAATACAGGCATATGAATACAGGCATCTTAAAGTTTGATCACAGTGATACCTCCTTTTGTTAACTGCAAAGACAAAATGAACACATGTTATTTAAAAACCAGCCTAATTATAACTTCTGGGTTGAAGGCTATAATGCTTTAAACCTGAGGAAGAAGTCCTCTGAAAGAATATTCATAAAAGGAAGAAAGTTTCCCCAGTGGAAGGAAAAGAGGAAAGAAATAGAATAATTAGATAAAAGTGTTTTCTAATATTATATCGTCCAGGGTTTGGTATGGAAAAGCAAGAGTGTAGGAGTAAAACATTTCTCCCTTTGGCTCTCTAAATCTCTTCACCCGTCTTTCCCTTACAAAGCATTTTTGTACTCAGAGGTCACTCCCTAGTTAAAGACAGCTCTGCAACTGGAAGGAAAGTCCCCTTGGGAAGGTCTGTACGTTCAAACCTTAACAGAAGATTCACAACTGTGACCATGGACATCTAGGGTGTTGCTGGATGAAGGTAACAAGCCACTTCCTACTGAACCATAGAAGCTGGTTCCTGGCTTGCTGATACAGGAGCAAGAAAAGACCTATCCACATGGCATGGATGGAGAAGAATTCAGAACTAGTTTGCTTTTTGTTTTTTGTTGTCAATATTTCAGAGAGCCAGATGTTCCTGGAGGTATGTTCACACTTACTACTAAGAATTCAGCCAGAAATCTCTTTGATTTGACATTTACATTACAACTTTGATATTTGTAGCCATTGCTCAGTTCCCATGAGATTGTTATCTGACTAGCCCAAGGTCACAAAGCCACCAAGCCAGAAAGTACACCAAATTTAATAGCCACCTAGGGCACTCAGTGAAGACATCCCACTTTCCCAGAGAACCCATGGGCAACCCACAGGACTCCCTTGTCGAGGCATCTGAACACATGAGTTCTGAAAAACCTCTTCTGGGTCCTGATTTATTTTTATGTTTTTCCTCCCCCCACCCCCGCCACTTTTCTCTTTTGAAGAGCTTCAGACAAAAATAATTTCCACTGTAGCTGGAAAAGCAGAAAAGGTACTTAACGCCAACCACATTTTTGGTACCCTATAAAAGCTAAATAAAAAATAATAGTTCAGCAATGCACAGGGTACTGCATAGATGTGCAAGATATTTGCAGGCTAATGAGCAAACCAAAGGTACGAAAAAAGTCCGCTCCTCCAACCTTATCTCAAAATACAAATTAGAGCTACAAGGGAAACATCAGCACTAATGCTCACGGCACAAGAGCTTCCCATGGGGTCTCCTCTCAACTTGAGGTGAAAGCAGCAAACATTCTGTCATGGCCTGACAGCGGAAAAAGAACATTTTTGCTGTGACTATATTATCATTCAATGCAGATGTTTGGCTCATGTCTCCTGATCTTGTCAGCAAAATTGACGCTAAAACATTGGTTTACGTATGTTTTCTTATGAGGTGTAAATTTGCACATATGAGCATATGAGCATTATTTTACTGCAGTCCCTTGCAGAGCTTCTAGTTCTGGGGTATATTCCCTAGTCTTTTTCCCTGTTATGAATAAATTTACTAGTCATTTCTACCTCCCCTCACTCTTGTATCTCCAAGACCACTGTCTTAAAATACATTTTATCACAGGGATTGTTGTGCCTACCCTCTTTTTAAACAGCCATCAAGAAATGTAGACTCCCACCATGGTCTTGCCGATGGCTAACATCTTGTGACCTCTAGATTTTTCAAGGTTGGCAAGAAGTTAAAACAGTGGGGAATTTTCAAAGGTCATAGAGGCTAGACCTTCTTCAGAGGGCCTGACAACTGGATTGGCTGCACTCTGTCCAGTTTTCCTGGTTGAAAACGGTTAAAAAGTTGCTAGGAAGTTCTGAAAAATCAAAAGTGGTTACGATAACAAGTTAAGCATTAGCAAGGAAGTTTTTCTTGAGTGTGAGTCGTAATGCATGGTCTGGGCTTTACCAGGAATCTTACACCGGTTGTTTTCCTTTCGGAGGTGGGTGGGAAGTCATTCCCCAAATGCATCTGAGTTGTTGAATATCCATTATGTTACAGGGGAACCATTCCTTCTTCCAAAACAACTGTAATTTTTATGGAGTCTAAGTGAAAACAGGCACATTTATTTTCTTATGGGTAAAGTTCTTGGAATGCTGTATTACAAGGAGTTAGTACATTTCTTGACCAAATAACACTTGACCAAACATTGCTTTCACAATTGACTTCTCTTAAAAGAAAGAAAGGGAAAAAAAAGATTTAAAAATGCAAGCATTTGGTCCGTAAACTCAAAAGAGTTTTCCAGGGACTCAGTTTCTAGAAAGGCCCATCTCCCACAAAAGATTTCCATGGTCAACAG